GGGAGAATGCATCAGCTAGCAACTAGTTTAAGCTTCTCTTTTACCACTTAATTGGTACTCCATTTAGCCATATCCCAATAGCCAACTCGCAAATTGCAATATACGTGGCCTCTTTAGCCGTGCATAAAAGCAATGTGTATTTTACTGAAAAAATGTTTTTCATGTTTATTGAACTATGAAGAAAGCAAATCGCGATCTAAATTGAGCCATAACGAGAAAAGAATGGCAGTCTTAAACTCTCCGCCTAGTACTTAGCTTTTTAATTGTCCATAGATTAAGATCGATTTATGCATATTTGCATAATAAGATAAGCCAAGATATTTCGAGAGACGGGTCAACGAAATATAAGCCTCATACGGCTTATACAGCTAACCTTAAGCACTCTATCTTTAATTGTATAGAACGCTTGAGTCTGGACATGAAAGAACAACAATGACAGCATTTAGCCTCTGTTTGATGTGCACGTTAACAGTATCTCAGAACTCCTCTACTTTTTATATCCTTTCTGTCAGGTGAAGTTTTCATTTATTTTCTTAATATAGGTTTAAATAACTTTCGAAGCATATCAATTTGACCTGCTTTTCCTGCTTTTGGCACATTAGGATTCATATAGCTAATAACTGTTTTTAATATTGAAGTATATGTATGGGCTAAGAGAGTCATGCGCCCTACTGCCTTTCTCTTTCTTCTAATCGTCAATTGACTATCTTCCAAACATTTGTATCATACACAAAGTAACGTCGAACTAAAAAGCATTTTAAAATGCCCAAATCCATTCATACAAGTAACATCACGTGACCTGCTATGAGTCCTATAATAAAAATAAAGGACGGAGTTATTTAGTTTTAAAGTTCTTTAGTCACCAAATTGTGTACAAGGCTAGGTGATTGTAGTGTAGATTAAATCTGAATGTGTCCATGATGAAGGTGGATGAGCAGAGGATAGCGAATAAATGGGGACGGAAAAGGAAATCCAAAACAGCTTTCCAAAGGAGTGTAGCCATGCGAGAGCAGCCATAATGGGACTCTGCAGACGGAATGGATTTTTAGTCAATATTATAGTAAGGCAACCTTGCTTCAGCCATGCAAAGATAGTTCTTGAGACGCAAACTCACGCGAAAGGTTCTCTGGAGGACTTTGCTTCTGACCTAGACGCTGGTTAAACCTGCTCCTGCCTTTGCAGACGCAGACCGACTGTATCCTTTGATAGAGATACAGGAGAGTGAGGGAGATCAACCTATGCAGAAGTTGCGCATATTAAATGCGGCATGTGGAGGGAATGCAAATGACGCCCAGAAGAGGGTATGTGTTAGTGAAGGTCTCCAGGGTGCAGCTTTCAAGCGAGTCCATGGGGCAGAGTGTTGAGGTAGAAGCAAGTGCCAAACGGCCGCGCACTAGACAAGTCCAATATAGCTTGCAGTTTTTCCTGCTTCTGATTGCGGCCTTGTGGCAGACTCAGTCTGTTGCAAGTGTCAACAGTCTCATAGGCCAAATGATGGGTAAGGTCCGGCGATATTTGATTGGTTGACCCGACGGATGAGCCAGTCATAAAAGTTTTCACAAGTAGTCATTAAGCAAAGTGGGAATCTTAAAGGTAGCTACGAGTATCAAACGATCGCTGTAGCTGGGACGAATAGGGGTAGATCATTTAATGTCAGTAGGGTAATACAAATATTAGGGAGATATAAATATAAGCAAGGTCGATGATGCCAAGTTACTCCGATTTACCAACCTATTGCAAACTAAA